GAGCTACAAAATTAATAAACTAAACCAAATTTTTAATTTCATAAACTGTATGTTCTTTTAACAGTATCTGAAATATTTTAAGTAATTTTGAAACTTTGTAGTTGTTTCAACAAAGTCAACCGTTAAAAAAAAAAAACGGTTTTTTCCATCACGGTGAAAATTTGACGAAGGTCATGAAATTCTTTTCTGACTTTAAGAGAACAGTTGTTTAGTCCAGTATTTTGAACTTTCTGATTGTACAGTGTAAAAAAATGTGCAATATAAAGTACGTTGTGATCTTGCCATCTAATGCAACTTTTTTTTTTTGTTCTCGTATACTTTTCTTTTCATTTATAAAGAGTATCAAACAGAGAATAAACCTTTTTGTAGGTTTGATATATATATATATATATATATATATATATATATATATAGTTTATATATATATATATATATATATATATATATATATATATTATATATATATATATATATATATATATATATATATATATAGGTGCTGTGCTTAAGAGTGCGTATTTTTGTTTGTGGTCGTCCCCAAAATCCTTACAACTTTTTGGTTTATCAAACAGCTTTTGGCACTTACTGCAGGTAATCTAAGTATTTTTTTAGTATTTAGTTACGACAAAAAAAAACAAACAGCAAACACTTTCTGCTAGGTGCTGCTTGATTGATCAAGCTTTATCAGTAGCTAATTTCACTTAAAAACAGCTTTTGATTTTTTTGAAAGATTTTCAAAATCAGAAATACTGTTAATCTGTTTTACAAAATTTCAAATTTGCTTTCAAGTGGTGATATTTATTGTTTATATAGTATAACTAACGTTCACTTATGTCGGCTGTTAACTATAGTATTTCATATTTATCTGCTACAGTGTCGTTTCTCAACCACACTGTGGGTGATTGTTCTAAAAACTTTTACAAATTGCTAAGCATCCTTTTAAATTAAGAGTTTCCTTGACGAAAAACACTGTCCTCAGCAATTGAATATACGTAGAGTAGTACGTTCAAAGTAACCTTAATTACAGCATTAGCTGTATTACGTTTTCTTTAGTGCTGGAGTTGTAATAAAAAGTACTAACACCTCTGAAAGAAACGCCGTTATTCTCTAACACTTCCTCAGTTATCATATAATTTGAATTTGTTTACGAATGTTTAAACTAATCGTTTGAATACTTCTAATCACAAAATTTTTCACTGAGTATTATCTCGTTAAAAAAAAAAAAAAGTAATGGAATCTAAACCATTACAACAAAAAAATCGATAAAGCAACCAATAAGAAAAAGTGATCTACAGCTGTATTCTAAATGCCTAGATGAAATCTAGAAACAGTCAACTTTTACAGCAAAAAAGTTAGGTTTTGAACAGAGCTTAGTGACTGAAACACTTTAGGAATAAAAGTCATAAAAACTTGCAAAATTTTGCATTCAATTTTACACTCAAAGTTGAGACAGAAATAAAACAGGACGACTAGAAAATTGGCCTTTTTTGAATTCAGCCTGATCAATACTCTAATGACAATTACGCAAAAAAACAGTAAATATGAAAAACTTTCCTCTTCCCCTGCTAAATTCTAAGTGCCTATAAATTCAAGAAAAAAAATTTTTTCTTCCACAGTTTTAGTGAACAGCAACAGTCACTGTTGCTGTTCAGTACCGGTTGATTAATGCCAACAAACGTTGTTAACTATTACAACCCTCATTTCAATAGTAGACTTTCGTACTGACAATTTCTTCAAAATTAATTTGTGTCAGATCTTCAAAGACATATTTTAGTATATTGAAAATACATTAGTAATGTGATAAGACTCTTTTTACTATACACCAAAAATGTTTTAAGACAAAAACATATAAAGTGGTTCACCACAACTTGTTAATCTGAAGTTTTATTTTCGCTGTTCTTGATGGTGCGCTTTTTTCATTTGACTGTCAGTACAGAAATTCAAATTTTCTTCGACATATGGTACCATAATTTTGACATCTTTCCCAGCAAACCAGTAATTGTTAGCAAACCAAAAATGTGTTTTTTTAATAGGTTTTTTTGATTTTACCTTAGTCGCTAAGTTAACCTGCCGACTTATGGTAGTCTTTCACCTTCACAACGAATACTGTTTACCAAAAAGACAAGTCTTGTGAAATTCAATATCCGCTTTACAGGTAATTTTGTTTGCCTTGTATTTTACTAAAACTCTTCAAAATTAAGACTACTTTGCAAAGAGTCAGAATATCTTAAAAATTTCCTGTTCACAACTTGTTAAATATACCTTGATAAACTAATGAAATCCTAAAGCATGACCTAAAGTGACCTTCAACAGCAGATTTTTCAAAGTTACTATTGATGGCTGCAATAAGTAATGTTGCGGTACTTTCCAAATAGTGCTGGGAAGTAGAATCAATTAGACTTTATGGTTAAAAAATTTTCAAACAACAGTACTTCGAGTGCTATCATCTGCCTTCTGAAGCGATAACAACAGGATTGGTAACAAATTTTCCTCAAGCCACTCCTTAGTGAACAGAAAGACTGCACGAAAATTCTACTCAGTTTTCTCAAAATAGTGAAAGGCGAAGGCGGTTTTACGGTTAACAGCAGCAAAAAAGCAAACTTCAGACAATAAACTAAATTCCTCTATTAATTTTTAAATGTGATAACAAAGTTTTAGAAAAATTAAATTCAAATTGCTGTCACTAAAAAATGTTAAAATCTTTCTGAGAGCTTAACTGCTCAATGGTGTTCGTACAGCATCTAACAATTAAATTTTTGAGAGCCAGTTTACTGCTCGATAATTTTAATGTGAAGTCGTTTGAGTCCTTTCAAACAGTATTTCTTTATTCCAGAAAAAAAAAA